GTCTTAAATGAAGCTAAATTTGTGACCAGATGCATACCACTTATATTTGTTTACAGGAAAAGTTGTAAGTACTAGAATCAGGTCAACAATGGGGATGTCCATGGAAAAGCTGTTTGAGGTGGAGAAGTCCAGTTTGGATGTGTTGCTTTGTAGGCTGCTCTGATTTGTTAAGCAAGCATTCAGATAAATGATGGGTTAGGCTGATTGCATATACCTTTTTCTAACCTTTTCATTATGCACTTCTTCGTTTTGTGTAGTTCAACCAAGGATATTTGGTATATCTAGTTGAATTCAGGCAAAGCTGAAAAAAATTCAGAATAAAATATTTTTTTAAGGAAACATTATTACAAACCACTGTTTTGATAATAAATCTCTAGTCTGATCCATGTTGGGTCTTTCAGAACAGTCTTGCGACCGTGTGAGGGGGTTTTTGAGGGAAATGCCCCTAAACCACAACATGAACGGGGCACAATGGTGGCCAGAAGCGGACTCGCTCACTGCGGTGGCGAGAGCTCAAGGCGTGACGTCACTTTCCTGAACCGGGCTAAACACATCGCTAGTCTGGCGGGGAGGCGCATCATGAGGGGATTATAAACTTCCAAATAAAAAAAAAGCGCCGCTCCAGTTTCAGGTCGCGGGTTTCCCAGGAGGACTCTTTGACCAGGTGATAGACAGAGCCCTCAGAACTCTGAGGCTGCTGGTGGACTCTGGTCCGGTCCAGTCCAGTTTAGTGGTTCTGGTCTCGACCTCAGGATCCTCCCATGTAGCTGGGAGCTTCACCTTCTCCATCATCATCATCATCCTCAGCTCATGAGCGTAAGATAATTGTTTCCCTCTCTGGAGGACTTCCTCCTTTTAGTTCTTAAAATGCAGGTACGCACTCAACGTAAACAAATCACTTCTATCTACAAATTTTACAAACCTGAACATAAAAAACAAATCACTACCTCCATCTTAAATGTCTCAGTTCTTCATGTATTTTCAGTTACTGCAGCTGTTTCTCTAAGTAAACAAACACACCTCAGCTGTTTCTCTAAGTAAACAAACACACTAAACAAAAGTTTACAATTTGTTTACAACATTTTAGAAAACTTAAAACTTTAGTGACTTGATCCCAAGTCTGAACCTGATCCTGGTCCTGGTCTGTGGACTGACACTCAGTAAATGATGCATATACACCTGGTCCCTGGGCTGTCGTGTGTCCAGTCCCTGCGTGTCCTCTCTGTCCCCACATGTCCTCTCTGATTTTAAATGTGATCAGGTTTTAAATTCTGGCTTTGATTAAATTTGTTTTTGTTTGTTTGTGTTTGTTTGTTTGTTTATTTTGCAGACGGGGGCTGAGATCTCGACAGTGAACCCGGAGCAGTACTCCAAAAGATTAGTAATTATTTTAGATGTAGTTATTTTAGCAATAAAAGAACTGATTTTTTTAATGTTTAATGCAAATCAAAATTATTTAGGAATGTTTTACGATAGTTTTCACAAAATATTTATCAAACTTTAATTTTGATTTTTTTTCCCAAATTTTAATACAGATTTGAAAATTTGTCTGTAAGCCCCTGTACCTGTTCTCAATGAAAACCATTTTCGATGATGTATGTATTGATTTTTAGAAGTGTTAAGTAAATTTTATAATTGTTTTTATGCCACTTTGTTGTCTTAGATGTAACAGGTCTCTCTTGTAAATGAGACAACGAGTCTCAAGAAATCTTCCTGTATAAATTAAGGATAAATAAAAATAAAATAAAAATAAAAGCAAGCACCTTTGAATACTTCTTTATATTTTGCAGTTTTAGAGAGAGAGAGAGAGAGNTCCCCAAATTTTAATAAACAGATTTGAAAATTTGTCTGTAAGCGCCTGTACCTGTTCTCAATGAAAACCATTTTCGATGATGTATGTATTGATTTGTAGAAGTTTTAAGTAAATTTTATAATTGTTTTTATGCTACTTTGTTGTGTTAGATGTAACAGGTCTCTCTTGTAAATGAGACGAGTCTCAAGAAATCTTCCTGTATAAATTAAGGATAAATAAAAATAAAATAGAAATAAACCAAGCACCTTTGTATACTTTTTTATATTTTGCAGTTTTATTATAATTGTTCTCATGAAACTTCAAACTTTCTGCTTCATTGATCAGCAAATATCTTTGCTGATAGACTTTGAGATGTCAACAATTCAGAGAATTAAGGCTTCTCTCTGGTGTGGATTCTTTGATGAATCTTCAGCTGTTGCTTTCTTGCAAATCCCTCCTCACACTGGTCACAGGTGTAGGGCTTCTCACCAGTGTGAATACGTAGATGATCCTTCAGATGTTCTTTTCGTTTGAATCCATTCCCACAGTGGTCACAGATGAAAGGCCTCTCCAGAGTTGTTGAGCTGCTGTTGGTTGGAAATCTCTAACTTGGAGCTCTCCTCACTCTGGTCACTGCAGTGTGGTCCTTCTGGAGCTTTGACTGAGCGGATCAGCTGGTCCTCATCGAAACCACCTCCACCTTTGTCTTCAGATCCATCTGGACTTTTGCAGTTCTGATTCTGATACACAAAAAAGAGGAAACAGTTGCAGTATAAAGATCTGACGTGACAACAACTACCTCCTGAATCAGTTCACCTTCCTGTGTGATAAAAGCCAATCGGTGTTTAATTTCATGCAAGTCAAAAATAAAATGAAATATTTAGATTTTAAGGTGAATACTTTGTATAGATAGTTGATTTAAGAGTGATTGAACACTTTATGTTGTTCAAAAACAAACAAAAACTTCTCCAGCCAACAGAATGTGCTGTGTGTGTTTTCTCCACACGTTCCAAACATGCTTACATTTGAAATGTGGTTCAATTAGAAATTAAATTGAGTCTTTCCATAAATTTTTTTCTATAATTCAACAGTTTTAAGTACATTTGACATTTCCTACCAACCAGCTTTTGTCACAGTGTTAAGATTGAACAGTGACTTACCTCTGCCAGTCCTGGCATGGGGCTGCTGGTGTCACTCGGGTCGTTTATTCGAAACTCCTCCATATTTGAATCCGCTTTAAGAAAGGAAACAGAATAAACTCAAAAACCTACAGAGCAATACAATGAAACTTAACATCCTTACAGCAGAAAGGACAAAAAAAAAAACAATACTGGCACAAGTATCTCTTAACGTTTCGTTTAAATAACGGGCCTCCCTTATAGTAAAAAGAAAACTAACAGAATATACTTAACATTGAAGATCAGTTGTGTGCAGCAGAAAACTTATTTATAGTTAAGAACTTTTAATAATACAGAAAACTAAATAAAAGTAGAACAAAAANTGCCAATGTATGGCTGTGCTGCAGAGCAGAAGAAACAAGAATAAGGCCTAAATATTACAATCATTAGTTTTACAGGCGAAACAACCCACATATACGTGTTTTGCATGATTGATGTTTGATTTTGTTTTTATGAGTTTATCTCCTGGATAAAATGCAAAAATCCCCCATTCACTTTCCATCTTTGCCTTTCTTATAGTGGCATGTCAATTCTGACAGTGACCAGACACAGGTTTATATGATCCCATGACTATTAGTGTCCCAGGACATTGGCAGCTCTTGAGTGTCACTTAAGTTAAGAGTAAGACCATGACAAATTGTAATTTCAAGGAACGCGTCTGCAGATAATCCCGTTTCATGTTAATGGAAATGCATTTGAAGGACCTGTTACTTTAGTGTGATGGATAGAAACTAAGATGGATTGTAACTATGGCTTCTTTTGTGTCCCAATGTGTGCTTGAGTCCTTCAGAAAGGTTGTCAGGAAACGTCATTATTTTTCATCTTCTTTGCAGCTTTGACTTTACTTTTTGGACAATTCAAGATTAAAAAAAGTTTCCTGTAAAAGAGTTTTTTGTGTAGCTTTTATCTTGATTATACTAGTTGTTATTGTTTGCCACATAATATCACAATATGTTTATAGTTATGTTGTTAAAAGGTAACATAAAAAAAACATGTAAACCCCCTAAAGTTGTACAATGCAAACTGATCAAAAACTAACTCACAAACTCAAATGTCTACATTTTTTATACAAAATGGTATTTCTATATCATAATATCTTATATTTTAAAGGAAAACCTGATAAATGTTAATTTTTTTAGCTGTTTTGAATGTTTCTCAACAGAAAGCAGTGTTTTGTGTGGAATAATTATGCTCATTAGTGAATCACAAATAAAAAGGAATAATAATAAAATGAAAATTTAACATTGTTCTCAGATTATTTACAACTAACAAATGTATTTGTATTTACAAAATGTTTAATAAAATTGGGTGTTTGCCACGAGCCCCCCCCCCCCCCAAGCTTTTACCCCCCCCCCCCCCCCCCCAAGCTTTTATTTTGAAGGTTTGTTGACAAAAACATCCGTTTACGGTTTTAAGTAATTCGCGCCTGCGCAGAACTCCGTTACCAGGAAGTGACGCTCCATAGTTACAGAACACTGCATATACGTAATAGATAAATTTGCATATTATGCAAATTTATCTATTACGTATTTCAGATTAATTTGAAGGAATTCCAGCCAAACGGTTAAACACTATGGAGCTCTCTCAATCGTCAAAAGGTAAGATATAGTCTTGTCTCCGCCCAGCTAACTTAGCCGTGGTTGAACAGTAAACACTGGCAGTATTTCTGGATTTTAGAGTATGTTTGCTCTCTTTTGTAACGGTATAACAAGCTACCGAATTTGAAATATCCATACGAAAGATAGGGCACGGANAAAAAAAAAAAAAAACAATACTGGCACAAGTATCTCTTAACTCTTCAGTTAAATAACAGGCCTCCCTTAGTAAAAAGAAAAATACGCTGTTTTCCTTCTCTCCTGCCCTTCCTCATCTTTTTCTGCTTTGCTGCTGGAGCCTTCTCTAYATTTTTCATCCGAAACTAGAAATTATGGATATTTTAATTTTTATGGATTTGGTCAGATGAAACTGTGGGCAGGCATGTGTTTCTGGGCATAACACCTGTCCCGGCCGGCTCCACAGCAGTCAGGTTGAAAACGGGAACCCCTTCAGTTCGCTCTGCGGTCTGTAGGAGGCGCAGTGCGGTTGCCATCTTGAGGACACACTAAACCAGTGTTGCCAGGTGTGCGATAATTATCRTATTTGTACGATAATTTTGCCCTCTGTCCGATGTACTATCTTCCAAAAATCCCATAATGTACAATAAATTGACCACTTCAGAGTATGACGTAATCGACCCGACACACTGCTCGCTGACATGAGAGGTGGCGGGTTGTGGAACACAGCGATCCCGGTATAGCGACTTCCTCGCTATATTTACAGCCTTTTCAGACCCTCTAGAGACTGTTATTCAGAAAAGAAACTAGTGAAAATCTAGCGACTCTTTTTCTGGTGTTATTGAGACTGAGAGACTCTGCAGTGAACACATTTCTCCTTTGTGCTGCTGAGAGCTCCTCCTCCCCGGTCCCAGAGCACCGAGGCTTCTTCACGCTGCGTCTCTCTCCCTGCTGCAGGTAGATATCCATCCCATCCAGACATGAAATGAATACTGCTGCTGCGACTGATCCATGATGGGATGTTAATAAAAACATTTCTATGGTTAAAATAGATCCCTTTGCCGGTCCAAAGCCAATAGAAAGGAGGGTTAGAGCTGTGACAGTAAAATAAAAAATATATATTAATCTATATACTGTATATTTTAAAAAAGGAGCAACAGAAGAAACTTTATTTTTTGTTCTCTTGACAAACTACTGTCTCTAAAGAAAAAGCTGGCTGCCACGACGCAGTCACCAATGTTTTTATTTTATTTTACCTTTTTTTTACCCTATTAAAACGCTACTGCTTAGGCTACCAGCTGGTCAAAGAATCAAATGTCCAATGTGACACAAAAAGGATGATTCATATATTGAGTTGAATGTAGAATCTGTCTCCAAAATAGTTACGCATTTATTTATGTTTTTTAAAAAATATGTTTAACAACTTGCAAATACACCAGAATGCAGGAAACAGCACCTACGTCATTCAAAAATTTCTGGGGGAGAACCCCAGACCCCC